CCCCCCCCTCTTCTAAGTTGCTGTTCATCACCAGCCAACTAACAGGGTAGAATATACATTCACATTCGAACAGTACTCCCCCCCCCCACCATGTAGAGGGTGACAGTTTCATTTATCTCATCCAGTCTGGACTCGAACACAGGTCTGCTTATCAACAACAGTTCGTATACTACTCCCCCCCCCTCCCTCTTCCCCTAGCAGCCAACTAACAGATAGAATATCCATTCACATTCGAATAGTGCTACCCCCACATAGAGAGGGACAGTTTCATTTATGTGACCCAGTCAGGATTCGGACTTACTTAGGTTTGTTTGTTGGCCGACAATAGTTCGAATAGTACTCCCCCCCATAGGGCCTCGCCTCAGGGCACTGGAAAAAGAACACCCACACCCACACCCACACACACACATGAGCACACAGTTGGCATGGGGCCACACGCTCCTACACCACCAGTTCACAGGAGCCTAAGGGAGAGAGAGCTCCCGCTAGCAAAGAGGAAGAGGATTGGATTAGACTCCTGAATCTTGATGTATTTGTGGGAAGGTGCGGAAACCCATCCAGATTCAGGTGCTTAATTCAATCTTCTTTGCTAGTGGGATCTCCCCCTAAGTACAGGAAGCTACCTTTCGAGGCTTGGGAGCCTGCAACTGCGCCTTTTCAAAGTGGCCTGCTGTTTTTTTTTTCCTCGCTCCCGCCCAGGAAGCCTGAATCAAAAAAATGCTCTTAGTCCGTAAACCAGTAAGAGCACTGCTTAGGTTAGTGTGAAATGGTGTTTTTTTTTTTTTTTTTTTTTTTTTTTAAGCTATATTCTTCTTTTATCTATTGCATATTCTTGCCAGTACTTGTCTATCTCATCCTCTCGCTACCTTCTTCCCCCGAATACAACGTACGATCATTACTGCTGTGTTTGGGGTATCTTTCAGTCTAAATACAGCTATAATGACCGTACGTTGTATTCGGGGAAAGAAGGTAGTCTAAACCACCAGTACTTCCTAAAGTGATGCCTGAAAACAAGCTGCGACTTTTGGAAACGTACGGGCCACTACAGGAGCGTCCAAATTCATCTGACTCGAAACATTTCTACTCTATTTTTTCGGGCAGCCAATGGCTGGGCCAAGTACAGTTGAAAAATATCGTGCTTGGGCACTTCGCTGCACATCCATCACGAGAACAGCACGAAATTCCACACTCGTGAGGGCACAAGAAGAAAAGACACGCCTGAAAAACGAAAAAAAAGAAGCGAAAAAAAGAAAAGAAACAACAAGACAAGCGTCATCTCCTGGCGGGACGTTTCTACTCTATTTTTTCGGGCGGCCAATGGCGTTTTTGCGCATTTTTTCTTTTTGTGCATTTGTCATGGAGCGTCAGTTGCAGGTTGTTTTGGAGGGAGGATTCCTGGTTGTTTTTTTTGTTTTTTTTTTTGTTTTTTTTTTTTTGCCCTTTTTTTTTTTTTTTCAGTTTTGCTCCTCCGTGCTGTTGTAGTGGTGATATTCAGTTCACCCTGCAGCTAGCCGCTAGCGACAATCTCCCCCCCCAGCATTGTCGACAGGTGAGGGGGTAATGATGGTTCCTTCCATAAAGAGTATAGCTTACATTCTCCTTCGGAATCCCTGTCTTAGGCTAATAAGAAGTATAGATCGCAATCTCATGCGCGGGGTTTAGATCAGTGGTGATGTTCAGCTTGCAGTGGA